TTTTTTTTTTGTTTGTATATTGTTTATAGAATTCTGATTCATGCTGTACTTGATTGAGCACGAATTTTCACGCTTACATCAATTATTTGAACATTTATATTTGGAAAATATAGAAAATATATCTGCATTACTTAAGAATATAAATGTGTCTAAAAAGTTCCTGTCGGCCAGCAATATTTTCGAAACTTTTCCTATATATTCAAAAATAAAGCGTATGCATTTGAGTAGTAGACACGTAGATACCCTGTATTATTGTATTTTATATGAAAAACTAAGGATTCTTAGGCATTTAAATCTATATAGCTTAAAATAGAAACAGATCAACTTAGTTATGTAAGTGTTAGCTATTGGAAAGTAGAATTTTTAAACTATACTGAAAATATTATTTGCAAGTTTAATTGTTTAAATAATACAAAAAATAGTAAAATGCTTCTTGACATGACCCAAAATCAGTTTATATCAAACACAATCTGTTTTTTATAAATAAAATGTCATTTGGCCATGAAGTCGCGACTACTTGATCGTGCCTACGCATGTCTTTCCATGCAGGGTATAAAAAATAGATTCAAGAACATTTCTCTCTCATATACAAATTTCATTATCAAACGTTGTCTGCGGTTGTTTCGCATGTCATACGCTTTTTAAAATATATCTACATACATAAAGTTTTGTATTCGGAGGCGATTAAGTTTTTGTAAAATGTGTTTGTATTTAAAATACTAAATAACATTTACATTTTGTTGTAAGACCTTTCAATTAGTAATTCCATTGTCAAGTTCATATATAAATTTAAAAATGAATATAAATGCAAATGCAAAGATATTGCTGCTGGTATAAACATGGACTGCCAATGCATAATTATTTATACAATTGTTCGTATTAGAGTAGATGATCAATACGATCCAAAGGAGTATATCACGCCCATAAGTAATAAAAACTATTTGAAACGTTACATAAATATTGTGCGACTCTGTTGGAAACGGTAAATATATTTATATTTATAAATATAAAGATTAGACAGACTTGGCAGAATATAAAATGGATTGACGATTTACTTTGGTTTATCTACTTTGTGCTGTGATAAGATTGCCTATTGTCTATAGAATTTATATTAATTAATAGTTCATATCCGAATATCCAACTATCTTAACTACACAAATCGTTAGCTAAGATCATTTGAAGTTGGAATAATCGGGACCGTAGGTCTTTTGTTGACATCCCTAGGCAATTTTATCAGCAAATGGATTATCATTTCTATATTTAAATACATTTATTTGCTTCAGGGCTGTGGCTGCATATTTGCGTGCGCTGAATCTATCGCCCAACAATGCAGTCGTACATGGAAATCTGGCGTGTGTTTACTATGAACAAGGCCTCATTGATCTGGCGATTGACACATATAGGCGAGCTATTGAGCTACAGCCGAACTTCCCCGATGCATACTGTAATCTGGCGAATGCACTCAAGGAGAAAGGACAGGTACATATTTATATTTTACAATTCAAGTAGACAGTTTAATAATCTATTATTATTTGTAGGTCAAAGATGCCGAAGAATGCTATAATACAGCTCTCAGACTATGCTCAAATCATGCAGATTCGTTGAACAATTTGGCCAACATAAAGCGAGAACAAGGATTTATAGAGGAAGCGACACGGCTTTACTTAAAGGCCCTCGAAGTTTTCCCCGACTTTGCCGCTGCGCATTCGAATCTGGCGTCTGTCTTGCAGCAGCAGGGCAAGCTGAAAGAAGCTCTAATGCATTATAAGGAAGCAATAAGAATTCAGCCGACATTCGCTGATGCTTATTCCAATATGGGAAACACGCTAAAAGAGCTGCAGGACGTTAGCGGAGCACTGCAATGCTATACGCGTGCTATACAAATTAATCCAGCATTTGCCGATGCACACAGCAATTTGGCAAGCATTCATAAAGACTCGGGCAATATTCCCGAAGCAATTCAATCTTACCGCACAGCTCTGAAGCTAAAACCTGATTTTCCCGATGCCTATTGCAACCTGGCTCACTGCTTGCAGATCGTCTGCGATTGGACGGACTACGATGTGCGAATGAAGAAATTGGTCAGCATCGTGGCTGAGCAGCTCGAGAAGAATCGTTTGCCGTCTGTGCATCCACATCACTCGATGCTGTATCCGTTAACACACGAGTTTCGCAAGGCCATTGCGGCGCGGCATGCCAACTTATGTTTGGAAAAGGTCCACGTATTGCACAAGCAGCCATATAACTTTTCAAGGGAGCTGCCAAAGGACGGCAGGCTACGCATTGGCTATCTGAGCTCTGATTTTGGAAATCATCCTACCTCACATTTAATGCAGTCTATACCCGGCTTGCACGACCGTTCCAAAGTGGAGATCTTCTGCTATGCCCTCAGTCCGGATGACGGCACCACATTTCGTAATAAGATCGGACGGGAATCTGAACACTTTGTGGATCTTTCCCTCATTCCATGCAATGGTAAAGCAGCTGATCAGATTTACAATGACGGCATTCACATTTTGGTTAATATGAATGGCTACACAAAGGGAGCAAGAAACGAGATATTTGCCCTTCGACCGGCACCGATTCAAGTGATGTGGTTGGGCTATCCAGGCACGAGCGGCGCAAGTTTCATGGATTATATTATAACTGATGCAGTTACTAGTCCCATGGAATTGGCTCATCAGTACAGCGAAAAGCTGTCCTACATGCCTTACACATATTTCATTGGCGATCATAAGCAAATGTTTCCGCATCTAAAGGAGCGTCTCATTGTCTGCGACAAGCAGCAATCAAACAGTGTGATGGACAACGTGGCCGTCATAAATGCAACAGACTTATCGCCGCTGGTTGAGAATACAGCTGTGAAAGAGATTAAGGAGGTGGTCAATGCACATAAGCCGGTAGAAATCACGTTGAAAGTCGCCGAGTTGCCAAGCACCACACAGTTGGTTTCCATGATTGCCACGGGCCAGGTGCAAACGTCTCTCAATGGAGTTGTTGTGCAAAACGGACTGGCAACCACACAGACAAACAATAAGGCAGCGACTGGCGAGGAGGTGCCCCAAAATATTGTTATTACCACTCGTCGTCAGTATATGCTGCCCGATGACGCTATAGTCTACTGCAACTTTAACCAACTCTACAAAATCGATCCACAAACTCTGCAGTCTTGGGTAATCATTCTTAAAAATGTGCCTAAATCTGTTTTGTGGCTGCTGCGTTTTCCGGCAGTTGGCGAGCAAAATATCAAAAAGTCCGTCAGCGACTTGGGTAAGTAAATTAATTTTAAAACTGTATATAGAGAAATGAATTTTAACAAATTTTCTCCATTAACTTCTAGGTATTTCGTCTGATAGAATAATTTTCTCAAACGTAGCTGCCAAGGAAGAGCACGTACGTCGTGGTCAATTGGCTGATATATGCCTAGATACCCCACTATGCAATGGTCACACAACATCCATGGATGTCTTATGGACAGGAACTCCAGTCGTAACATTACCCGGAGAAACGTTAGCTTCCAGGTAAATA